TTGAGCATTTTTTATAGGATACTTTGGGAAAGGGTGGAATCACATACAGACATACTCTTAGAAATGAGACCTTTTAAGAGACAGTATCTCCTGTAGGGCTTCTAAAATGTCAGATAGGATCCCTTTAAGCCCTCTCATAGACCCTCCCCTGGTGCAAATGCATCCTTTTAGATAAAGCATGAGGACCAAGATGACCTATAGTGATTTGAGATACAATCAGTTTTTAAAAATATTTTGTAGTTGTGCATGAAGCAGGCATCGTACAATATGCATGTCCTCACCTCACTCCCTTCAAATCCCTCACCCAAAAAAGAAAAAGAGAAATCACCTACTCATTGTTCTCTTCTTAATCAATAATGCAAAAAGAAAAAAGTAGTGGGGGAGAGAGAACTATTTGTCCTCTCTACTATTGGCCATTGTTTACTTTTATGCAACTAGCAAACACAATGTCATTTCACCCATACTGAAAGTTATTATTTACAACAAAAGAATCACATTGACCATAAATTTTACAAGGTCTAATAAGTAAAGCAAAAATGTAGTCTCTCAGAATTTGAGTGTCCTACATTCACAATAAATTTTCTAACTGGACACATTTATCCAACAATATCTTTTGAAGTTGATGCATGTCATAAAACACAAGTCTACTCTCAAAATGGCCTCTTAAAAAGAAAGGTCACTGAAAACAAGTACCCCCAGAAATGGGAAGGGGGAGAAAAAATAAACACTGCAAAGATGAAACATTCATAGGTTTTTTTTTTTTTTTTTCCCTTCATAATTTCCAAATGCAAATTAGTGATGGAAAAAAAAAAAACATGAATGTAAGATACCATCATCAGAATCTAACAGATAAAAATAAGTGTTAAAGTGACTATAATCTGCAAACAAGCACATCCTTACCTTGAATTGATATTCACTACCACCATGTTATCTCCAACGGCTTCCTTAAGTGAAATGAAACTTGGAATATAAGCAATTGCTTCAAATTTTGATTTAGTACCATGAAGCTTCAGATACTTAAATTCTTGTGATCCTTTGGGGTCGTAACAAATCAGAGAGCTTGTGAAATTTTGAAACATCAATAATGTTCCATTTTTGAGGTAATTTATTGGCTGATATAAGCCAATAGGCCACCTCTCAACCGTATCGGTATCAATAGAAAACATTTTTGTCCAAGATTTTTAACACCATATTTCTTCATAACCCATATGTCAATAGGACAGTAACTGGAGGCATCAGATATGCATAGACAGTCTTTTATGACCCCCATGGATACATTACACTTCGTACTCAAACTAACCTTGTGGATTTCATTAAATTCATCATAATCATATTCAACATTCTCACGAGGTGGTGGCGGAACCCATTTGAACTGCTCGTCATCAAAGTTAAAAGAAACTATATAATTAGAACTTTTGGAATCAAGACAGAACCAATGAATGCATCCCTTCAAATAGGTTGGAAATGTTAGCCTATAAGATGAAAAGGGAGCATCACAGTCATCACCAATGCTTCTCCATGATCCTGTGCCAAGTGTGTTTATCTCAGTGCTAACAGGATCCCCAAAAAATTGTTTAAACATTCTAATCACCTTGTACTGATTAGCCTTTGGACTGAACCCAAACCCACAATAACCAAAATATTTGGTTCTCACATCAGACCTGTTAACCACTGGAAGGTTTATATACTCGCCCGTGACTGGATTACACACAGCAACAGGATCATACGAGATGGTTCAGACAAGCAAAGAAAACCATTGCATGAATTCACAATTTTGTACTTCTGATCCTTGGGTTTAACTTTGATGCCGCGTTTCCTTTTAACCCCACTGCCTTCAGAGGAACAACCCATTTGGGCATCACCCTCTTCGCCGTTGAGAACCATTTCAGCATTGCGCAATGGGATCTTCAATTTGGTGTCAAGCTTCATGTTCACATGAAGGCCACATTGATCATACTGATAGCCACCATTAAAACTGCAGTCCCCGAGATCAAAATTATGGCAAGTTTCAAACTCAATCAAGTAAAGCATTCTTGACAGATGCGTGGAATCCAAGGTCCGAATCAGAGGACAGGGCTGTTGTCGTGAGAAGTGCAGCTTTGCGAATTGGGGGTCCGAAATTAAACTGCGCCAAGCTTTAGAAACGCATTTGCAAACAAGAATCGTCTTCACAGAGAGTAGTAATAGAATATCGACGACGATTGGGCTCGGAAGATCTTTGCCCGAACAATCCAATATCTGAGTTTGTTCATCATCGTCTGCTCCTCCGTTGCCTATTAGGGCTGAATTTCTTCTTCTTCTTCTCATGGCTTGGCTAATATTCTATAAATAAACAGAGAAGATTAAACTGAACCCTAATAATAAAAAAACAGAAAAATGAGGGAAAAGGTAAAACCTGAAGTCGTGATTTGAGGAAATAGAAAGCTTGTTCACACGTATTAGATAAATATACTAGTTTTCACCAGAGAGAAGGTGAAGAGCGAGATTCATTCATAGATAAATGAAGTAGCAGTCAAAACCCTAGTGCTAAGGGCGGGTGTAGAAAAGCATGTGAGGTTACTTATTAGTCCCTCAAAATATAATGACTAAGAGCAGGTCCAATGGAGCGGAGTACCGCGATTTTGGGCTAAGTTTGGAGATTGGCCTACTCCAATGGGGTAGCTAAAAATTGGATCCCACCCATTGGATTGTGGAATGGGTCGCGGTAGTCTGCGACCCTGTTGGCGAGCCGAGGGCCTGTCATGCGAGTCCACATTCATTTTCTTTTAATTTTTTTATTCTGGTCCAAAACTTTCTTGTAACTCAAAACACTGTTCTTAAGGGCATGTTTGCTTAAAAAAAGAGGAAAAAATCAGTTTTTTTTTGCTAATTTTGGCCTCTTTTTTTTCCCTCAAAATAATTGAACCAAAGAGCCATTAAGGCATTGTTTGGCTGACCTAAACAGTGCCATAAAGGTTTTTTTGGGCAAAAAAGTTTAAAAAAATAGATAAATTTGCTTTTTTTTATAAAAAAATTACTTTTTAAAATATTCTTACTGGCATATAGTCGTTTTAGGCACTATTTGGCTGACCCAAACAGTGCCTTAACGGCTATATTGGCACAAAAACCTATTTTTTGAATTTTTTATAAAAAAATAATTATATACATATTTATTTATTTAAAAAAAAAAAAAACATTTCATTGTTTATTTTAAATGATATTAGAAACATTTCATTGTTTATTAAAAAGTTAAAAAATAAATTTTATTTCAAATTTTAAAAATATTAAAATATTAATATTTTTGGGGAGCGAAAATGTACCATTGTAGTATATCTAATAGTTAAAATTTGGAGATTGTGAAACGTTGATGTAGTTATGGAAAATGCTGACATAATTATGAAAAAATGCTGATGTGGTAAATTCGGAGATCCTGAATTCAGAGAGTCCATTGGAGATGCCCTAAATCCCAACCTAACTAGTCCTTTAATTAATTCATTCAAAGCAGTCCTTCTTAATGAGGTTGAATCACACTTGGGAGTTGCAGAGTTTGACATGAACCATCAATACGTTTCGAACACGACACGAGTTAAATGAATTTAGATTGATCTTAAACGAGTTTGGATTGTAAACGAGTTGACACGATTAACCCGTTTAGTTAATCGTGTGGTGTATGAGTTGAGGAGTTTAACTATATGTGTCATAAATAAATTTGCAAACAATGTAATGCTCTTTTTCTGGCTCAAATTTAGAAAAAAAAAAACGCAAGTCCAGAATTCTTCTAGGCATTCGCGAATAATGTTAGAGCAACAAGCACGTGGGACTCCGAATAGACTTAGAAAGATCAAAGCTGATCTCAGAAGCTCGGTGTGATTTCTCCTCAAATAAACTCTATCACCCCTTCACAATTATTTAATGACTTGTTTCAAAAACTGTAAATCCCAAGTATTTGGGTCATTCTCAGTTGCAAGCATTGTTAACGCTCAATATAAGTGATTACAGACTACCAATCTTCAGTTTCTCATGAATTTTAGTGATAATAGAGACCTTGTGATGTTATGTACTCAATTGTGGGCTGTTCATTCGTCGATTTATTTATTTATTTAATTTTTTTTTGGATCTGCATGCCCTTTCTCACACCATCCACATACAATACAATTTGATCACCACAAATTTTTTTAATATAACCAAGTTAAAAAAGCATCCATTGCACTCCAGAGCTCCATGAACTAATTATAATGCAAATTAAATTACTTACTGGTTGATAATGAAGCTCTCACTTGAACTACTTTAATGAAGTTCAATTTATCCCAAGAAAAATGATACTCCGAAAATGGCAATTGTTAATTATTTACCTTTTCCTTTTTACCTTTCCAACAAACCACGGACAACTCCACCAAGGAAACGGCTCTCCTCTATCAAAGTGCAAATCCAAACCGAAGCAAACAATGTCAGGCTACTAACTTTAGGAAATTTTAGCAAATATTTGAATGGAGAATGAAAGATTTATCGAAAATCCTCCTTTTTCCGGTTCAGATGTAACTACGAGATAAATTGTTGAAAATTAAAACACTTCCCGGTATAAAATTCATAATTTTTATTAGGCAATTGGGGAAGCCATTTATTTCATTAGATTGTCTTATTTTTTCATATCTTTTAGTCTTTTAGAAACAAAACAATGTTGAGAGTTGAGACAAACAGATAGCTGCACAAAACAGAGTGCATAATTGAATTTAAACCACACACATCCACAGTGACAAACTAAGAATTCCTTTAATTTTTTATATTTGAGGCACTACTACGACATAAGAACACTTTGTAACTAAAACAATTCAGCTCAAGAAGTAACAAAACTAATTATACAACAATCTTGTTGCTCTAAAAATATACTGTATTTATCATTTTAACTCATACCACAGCTCAAGTATACATAGCATCAAAGATAGAACATTGTAATTATTGCTGTAATTGTCGGCCTATAAAAACTTCTTTTACAGCAATTTGAAAGACCTTTGCATGCAAATTATAAATATCCTGTAAAAAGGTCGAAATTGTAATTTTCATGAGAAATTCCTAGAAAAGATTAGAGTAAACATGAGAAAGATATCAGTAGTCATTACTTGGTTTAGTTCTCAAAAACTTTCCAGTCCCTAAGAAATTTAAAGAAGTAAAGCACTCAATAACCACAATTACTGATACTGTTTCTTTCAGCATACTCAGTCAAGCACTAAGTAACCTCAGGAAAGGTATACTTGCTCAAAAAACCAATACCTTCAGATATTAGCTTCGATTATAAAGTAGTTAATCTAAGCATAACATCAATTTCCTTACCCTTCCTGCACCTATCAATCAAAAGACGAGTAAATCAAGCGGCTTTTCTCTGTATGCACTCTTCCACTAATGAAAGAGCTCTAGTCTCTCCTGCCACTTTGAATTGCAGCATACTTTTTGGCTTCATCACCTCTGCCACAAGTGCTTCCATATATCAGAATCAGAATACGATGAAAATGAATCAGATGCCATATCCCTATCTTCTTCCTCCAACGAAATAGCTTTAGTCTCACCCAGCACTCTGAATTTTGCACACCTACATCAAGAATCATAACTTTTAGAAACATAATCCTTAAATAAATACAAATTGAGATCTTCTAAATAATACTATGTCATCAAAATTCACAAAAAAAAAAAAAAAAAAAAAAAAAATGCCCCATATCCCCGTTTAATCACGCAGTCAACCACAATTATTGCAACTGAAGAACCTATTCTTTGTTCTGAAGTTTTACCATCTATGGCTCATTGTATGATATTACATTTTTTGCCAGCAAGGATCGGATACTACATCAACTATATGGGCAATCTTGGCATTCTCTTGGAACAGCATTTCACATATAGAACTTTCTTTAAAGAATAATTTGACATTTTAAATAATTCTCCATAACTTTAGAACTAGTGGGAAGATTATACGTTGTTACTCTTATTTATTTTATGTTAGACAATCTGCATGACTAGATATAAGGTTTTGTCCCTGCTGCATGGTTATAACTACAACCACTAGTAAATACATTAAGCAAAAATAAAAATAAAAACAAAGTAGGTGAACTCTACATTACCATATATTAGAAAAATGAAGTATCAACTCCAATTACGCAAATGATACAAAAAGGAGAATTGCAGTTACTATCAGTACCTAAAGATAAATAAACATGGGACACCATTTCCATATCTACACAAGAGGAGAAAAAGACTTTGAAGCATCAGATTATACAGCATAATTTTAGAAAGTAATCACTTAGTAGTGGAAATTTTCAACTACTCTACTGCATAAGGAAAAACATTTTGCTAAATCTTCCATATCATTATTAGGATAGTACTATAAAAATAACACCATTGGTTTCTAGAAAAAATTGTGTAAATAATATAATCTCTCTTTTTTAAATAAGAAACGATAAATCAAATATATAAAATATAAAAAAAAATAAATGAGCTAAGATTGATCCTTTGACGCTCCTGATGCCTATTTGAAGCTTAAGGGTCAAGCTGACTTTACATGAAGCCATAAAAAAACCTGCTTGCGCCGCCAGGAAAGCCGTGTATCAACAATCTCTCTCATCAAATTATTACATGTCGTGAGCCCATGGACCGCCCTGCCACCCATGACCCATCTAATAGCAATATCAGGATCACCCTATATCAAATATTGCCAAAGCCTTACATCCAAAACAACCTTGAGAATTCCCAAAAGAGCTAAAATCTTTGCCTTAATAACAAATAAGTGTCAACCAGCTTAAGAGAACCCAAGTATTTAACTTGTTAGAAGATGTTATATTTGGAAAATATTATTATAGAAACCTTGACAGAATTTGATATGAGAATATCATAGGAGAGATTTTAGCCTATGATAGAATATTGATTGGAGTGATTTATGGTATTGATTTTAGGAATGTTCTCTATTTTCCATATTTATCACCTCTATTCTTTCACCTATAAATAAAGGTGATCATTGTATACAATGATGAGAGAATATATTATAAAACGATGTAGCCCTTTAAGCTCTTTGTGTCGTGGATGTAGGCCTTAGTGGCTGAACAACGTAATATCCTTGTGTTATTCATGTTTCATTTATCTCTTCACTTCTGTTTTATACTTTACAACATGGTATCATAGCCTAATTTTTCTTCCTATGTTCGGACCCCTATTTTGGGGCATTCCCTTAGTATCTGAAATGTTGCTAAAGATTTCTCGGTTCTATTGTGTGACTTATTTGGGCCACCTGTGTGTTCCGTAGCAATGTCTTCGCCTTTGCCATTCTCCGGTAGTTTTTATTGACTTGTTTGGGCTGCAGGTGTGTTCGGTAGCATTGTTCGTAACCTTCGCCATGTGTTTGGTGCTATGTGGACTTGTTTGGGCTACTGGTGTGTTCGGTAGCATTGTTCTTCGCATTCACCGTGTGGCGTCATTTTCATACATCCTTCAGCTTGAGGGGGAGTGTTAGAAGATGTTATATTTGGGAAATATTATTATAGGAACCTTGACATAATATTTGATATGAGAATATCATAGGAGAGATTTTAGCCTATGATAGAATATTGATTGAGTAATTTATGGTATTGATTTTAGGAATCTTCCATTAATGTATTTTTCATATTTATCACCTCTATTCTTCACCTATAAATAGAGGTGATCTTTGTGTACAAAGATTAAGAGAGAATATATTATAAAGTGATGTAGCCCTTTGGGCTCTTTGTGCCGTGGATGTAAGCCCTAGTGGCTGAACCACGTACTACCCTAGTGTTCTTTGTGTTTCATTTCTCTCTTCACTTCTGTTTTATGCTTTACAACATAACTCATTGAAGCATCACATGAATTGCATCACAGAACTTCCTACTATCAAATTCTAACCACACTATGCAATATATTAAACATGTAAAACATACAATATGCACAATACCCAAAATGAACTACATACATTGTTGCAAACTGAGAATTAAAACATAAATGAGAGAATTGCATCATCAACCTTATGTTCTGCCTATGTAGGATGCTCAAGGAAAAGGCTAGAAACAGGCCTAACTTTTGGCATAACTTGATACAAATCGACTGATCTCAAGCTCAAATGAATCTTTGGGACTTAAGTTTCACAAATGAAAATTAATTCATTTCCATATATTCCAATTTTTTAATAGACAGGATTAAAATAATAATAATAACTAATAGACACTTTCCCTTTTGAATTATCTTAAAAATTTTAGCATATCTCATGAATGCTCCATCAGGCACAGGATTGCCAACTAGAACTCTAGAGAACTAACCTAATCTCTGTGTGCAATAATGACATTTGGTAATTTAACCAATAAAAACTGAAACAAAATGAAAAAAAAAAAAGAAATAAGGAAGAAGAGGTTTCAAAGATAACAAGCTCTTTTATATATCTACACACATACAAACACACATATTTATAGAAAACAAAAAGGAACTGACAATGTCACAGAAAATTTCTTCGGAAAGATGCAAGTATTGTTTTCTCTATAAACGTCTTCACGAGCAATGAAAAAAAATGAAAAGAAATAATTAGCATCTCAAAATGAAAATGAGAATTTATAAAAGGAAAAACAAATCATTTCAAATGTAAGAAGCATGAAACAGCAAGTTAAAAAGCTACAAACAAAGTAAATAAATTAATTAATTAAATCAAATTATATTAAAACATAAAGAGGATCCTACCAAGAAAAAATAAACGAAAACACCAAAAACAGAATCAAAACACTCAACTAATTGGTAATCATAAAGTTTGTCAGCAAAGCAAGTCGAAGCTTCCTCACTCTAAAGGGTAGTTAAATCAAACCAATACCATATATTTTGTGTGCGCACACAAGCATTTGCAGCTAATCTCCTCATCCAAACACTGACAATTTATATCCTATACACTTGAAAATAACATAGGGTATAATTTTTGTTATTTTGCATTTCTAGTTAACTCTTTCAGTCATCATTTATGATTGACGGTGGTCAAACTAACTCTCAGAACAGTACAAATTATACAAATTAGAGATGAAGGAATTTATCTTTGGGGGTCAACTTATATTTATCATTTCTGTGAGTTGCGCAGTGCGGAAGTGATGTGGGAAGTTTAATCTCGGAAGAAAGGTCTAAAGGGGGATGAATAGGTCGAGTTTGCTAGTTTGATTGTTTTTTAGATTTATTTGGAATTGAGCCAATTAATGCAAAATAAACCAATTACACAAAGCAATAAAAATAAGAAAATGAAGACAAGTAAGAGATAGAGAAATAAAACTGGGATTTTTTACGCAAAAACATCAGCGAGAAAAAACCACGGACACTAGGCATCTCTGGCGAAACAATCCACTATTCTGAGAAAGAGTATAATGAGTTCCAATGCCTGGGAAACTGCTCTCCACAAGAGTTTATGATTCCAGTGCCTTCGGAATCACTTGTTCTTGACCTCCGACACTTAGTATCCTCCTATCCTAGTGCCTTCGCTACCACTAGCAATTCTTATTGATTGCCAATGCAATCACCTCACAATGATCTGCCTTTTTTTTTCCCTCCTGGGTATGATCTGCTTTTCAAGTGACTGAATTTGCCTTTCTTTCACTCATAAAATCTTTGCCTTAATAACAAATAAGTGTCAACCAGCTTAAGAGAACCCAAGTATTTAACTTATTGAAGTATCACATGAATTGCATCACAGAATTTCCTATTATCAAATTCTAACCACACTATGCAATAAATTAAACATGTAAAACATACAATGTGCAGAATACCCATATGAAAACAACAAACATTATAGCAAACTGAGAATAAAAGCATAAATAAGAAAATTGCCTCACCAACCTTATGTTCTGCCCATGTAGGATGCTCAAGGAAAAGCCTAGAAATAGACCTAACCTTTGGCATAATTTGATACAAATCGACTACTCCCAAGCACAAATGAATCTTTGGAGCTTAAGTTTTGCAAATGAAAATTAATTCATTTCCATATATTCCAAATTTTTTAACAGACAGGATTAAAAATAATAATAACAATTAATAGACACTTAACTAATTGTAATCATAAAGTTAAAAAGCTACAAACAAAGTAAATTAACTAATTAAATCAAATTATATTAAAACGTAAAGAGGATCCTACCACCAAAGGGCCAGTGGCCTAGCTGTATCGGCCTCTTACTTCCCAAAGGGAGGTCAGGGTTTCAAGTCTCAGAAGAGAAATGTGTGTGTGAGTACCAACTAGGAAAAAAAAAAAAAAAGAGGATCCTACTAAGAAAAAATAAAAGCTAACACCAAAAACATAATCAAAACATTCAACTAATTGTAATCATAAAGTTTGTCAGCAAAGCAAGTCGAAGCTTCCTGACTCTAATAGGTAGTTAATTCAAACCAATACCATATATTTTGTGCGTGCACACAAGCATTTGCAGCTAATCTCCACATCCAAACACCCTAACAATCTATATGCTATACACTTGAGAATAACTTAGGGTATAATTTTATATTATGCATTTCTAGTTAACTCTTTCAGTCATCATTTATGATTGAAGGTGGTCAAACTAACTCTCAAGACAGTGGAAATTAGAGACAAATAAATTTATCTTTGGGCAACAACGTATATGTATCATGTCTGTGAGTTATGCGGTGCAGAAGTGGCGTGGGAAGTTTAATCTCAGAAGAAAGGTCTAGGGAGGGATGAATATGTCGAGTTTGCTAGTTTGATTGTTTTTTAGATTAATTTTGATTTTAGCAAATTAATGCGAAAAAAAAAAAAAAAAACCAATTACACAAAGCAAAATAACAAAGTGAAGACAAGGAAGAGAGAGTGATGATACTGGGATTTTTTTGTGAAAATATCAGCGAGGAAAAACCACGGAGACTAGCTGTCTCTGGCGAAACAATCCACTATTCTAAGAAAGAATATAACGAGCTCCAATGCCTGTGGAACTGCTCTCCACAAGAGTCATGATTCCGGTGCCTTCGGAATCACCTGTTGTTGAGAGTCCATGATTTCAGTGCCTTCAGAATTACCTGTTGTTGACCTTCGACACTTAATGTCCTCCTATCCCAGTGCCTTCGCAACCACTAGCAATAGTGCAATACTGATTCATAGACAACACAATCATCTCACGATGATCTGCTTTTTTCTTCTTTTTTTCTCTCTCATGTGTATGATATGCTTTTCCAAGCGATTGAACTCGCCTTTCTTTCACTCACAAACATGAAGATGTAAGGAGAAACTTATAGCTTTGACTGAAATTGATAAATCTTAGATAGCTCACAAAACCGTCAATCAGAACTAGAGCATCACCCTAAAACACTCACATGTAAATATGTTCTCTCAAAAATAAAATAAAAAATGAACTCAAATCTCTAGAACTGGTGTCTCAATCAATTTGCATGTATACAAACTATAGAAGAGTTTTTAAAAGCAAGAGAGTAAAAATAAAAGACGGAATTTTAAAATCCTATTGGACCCCTCTTGAATTGGGTTGAAAAAGGAGTTCAAATCTAATTAGAAAAAGTGAAGGTGAAAGCCTCCTGGGACACCTCTAACCAGTTGTCCAAATCCCCACGGTTGGGTTTTGCCCCATCCGGTTGGACACCCTAGTGGACGAAATTCCAGTGTACCCCAAGTATACTGGAATTTCGTCCACTAGGGTGTCCAACCGGATGGGGCAAAACCCAACCGGTTGGTGTATTTTCTAACTTTTCCCTAGTCTGTGCAGAAGACCTGACCTCCCAAACTTCATTGAGTGGTCAAACGAACTTGAAATTAAGCAAATAATATATCATTGGAAAGCTTATCGAGTCTAGTTTCTGACCATATAAAGATGATTAAGCACGGAGTTTAGATATTGCAAAAATAAGACAGATATCAGGATTTGACTAAATACAACCCCAAGTGGATATTGTTTTAATGCCCATTCAACTTATGTTCCAAAATTTTCAAAACATATTTTTACTCTTGAAAACATTCAAAAATCTTTTTTTTTTCAAAAACAAAAACAAGCGTACTGAGACACCACGTATCTCTTCTAAGTGATGTTTAAATCCGATCGATAGGTATTGAGCTTGTGTCAATCACTTGCCATTCATCTTCTAAAGTCGAGACTCAAAGCAAACGGAAAATTACAACTCAATTCACAAGTTTTGATGCTGAAATTTGCCAACACTAAACATATTTTCTCACAATGTTTAGGAACCATTGCATCAAATGTAAAGAAGGACAAGTGAAACAGAACAGCTTTTGAGTCATTCTCAGTTGCCCGCCTTGTTAATGCTCACTGGTAAGAGATTATAAACTAACAATCTTCAGTTGTGGACTAAACAACGGCACCTAACTGGTAGCTACAAGATTATTTTGGAATTTCAATACTTGCAAGATTCTAGATTACAGACAAGTTACTCTGAATTTTAGTATAATAGAAACCTCTTAATATTATGTAAAAGTCATCATTAACAAAAACTAAACAAAACGTCAATGTCTGTTAATGTTTTACGGATTTTTTTTTGGTAAGTTGCATCCAGGATTCCGCAGATTTTTCCAAATTTTCTCTCTACAGACTCATTGTCTGTCATCATTTGTGGAACCTCATATGGTTGATAATTTTTTATAGAATACTTTGGGAAAGGGTGGAATCACATACCGACATGCTCTTAGAAAGGAGACCTTTTAAGAGACAATATCACCTATAGGGCTTCTAAACTGTCAGATAGGATCCCTTTAAGCCCTCTCATAGACCCTCCCCTGGTGCAAATGCATCCTTTTAGATGAAGCATGAGGACCAAGCATGACCTATAGTGATTTGCAATATGCATGTCCTCACCTCACTCCCACCAAATCCCTCACTCAAAAAAGAAAAAGAGAAGAGAGAAAGAGACAAATCACCTACTCATTGTTCTCCTCTTAAACAATAATGCAAAAAAAAAAAAGTAGTGGGGAGGGAGAACTATTTGGCCTCTCTACTATTGGCCATTCTTTACTTTTACACGACTAGCAAACACAATGTCATTTCACCCATACTAAAAGTTATTATTTACAACAAAAGAATCACATTTATGCAACAATATTTTTTGAAGTTGATGCATGTCATAAAACACAAGTCTACTCTCAAAATGGCCTGTTAAAGAGAAATGTCGCTGAAAGCATGTACCCCTAGAAATGGGTAGGGGGCGAAAAAGCAAACAATGCAAAGATGAAACATTCATAGTTTTTTTTCCCTTCATAATTTCCAAATGCAAATTAGTGATGAAAAAAAAAACCATGAATGTAAGATATCATCATCAAAATCTAAGAGATATATTTTAAGTGTTAAAGTGACTTTAATCTGCAAACAAGCACATCCTTACCTTGAATTGATATTCAGTACCACCGTGTTATCTCCAACGGCCTCCTTAAGTGAAATCAAACTTGGAATATAAGCAATTGCTTCAAATTTTGATTCAGGTCGTAACAAATCAGAGAGCTTGTGAAATATTGAAACAACAATAATGTTCCATTTTTTAGGTAATTTATTGGCTGATATAAGCCAATAGGCCACCTCTCATCTGTATCGGTATCAATAGAAAACATTTTTGTCCAAGATTCTTGAACACCATATTTCTTCAAAACCCATATGTCAATAGGACAGTAACTGGAGGCATCAGATATGCATAGACAGTCTTTTATGACCCCCATGGATACATTACACATCGTACTCAAACTAATCTTGCCGGTTTCATTAAATTCATCATAATCATATTCAACATACTCACGAGGAGGTGGCGGAACCCATTTGAACTGCTCGTTATCAAAGTTAAAAGAAACTATATAATTAGAACTTTTGGAATCAAGACAGAACCAATGAATGCATCCCTTCAAATAGGTCGGAAATGTTAGCCTATAAGATGAAAAGGGAGCATCACCAATGCTTCTCCATGATCCTGTGCCAAGTGTGTTTATCTCTATGCTACGACCATATCTTTCCCAACCTGTAACAGGATCCCGAATCAATCGTTGAAACATTCTAATCACCTTATACTGATTAGCCTTTGGACTGAACCCAAACCCACAATCACCAAAATATTTGGAATTCTCATCATCCCTGTTAACCACCGGAAGTTCTATATACTCGCCAGTGACTGGATTACACACAACAACAGGATCCTTACGAGATGGTTCAGACAAGCAAAGAAAACCATTGCATGAATTCACAATTTTGTACTTCTGATCCTTGGGTTTAACTTTGATGTTGCGTTTCCTTTTAACCCCACTGCCTTCAGAGGAACAACCCATTTGGGCATCACCCTCTTCGCCTTTGAGAACCATTTCAGCATTGCGCAATGGGATCTTCAATTTGGTGTCAAGCTTCATGTTCACATGAAGGCCACATCGATCATACTGATAGCCACCATTACAACTGCAGTACCCAATATCGAAATTGTGGCAAGTTTCAGGCTCAATCAAGTAAAGCATTCTTGACACACGCGTCGAATCCAAGGTCCGAATCAGAGGACAGGGCTGTTGTAGTGAGAAGTGCAGCTTTGTGAATTGGGGGTCCGAAATTAAACTGCGCCAAGTTTTAGAAACGCATTTGCAAACAAGAATCATCTTCACAGGGAGTCGTAATAGAATATCGACGAGGATTGGGCTCGGAAGATCTTTGGCCGAACAATCCAATATCTGAGTTCGTTCATCATCGTCTGCTCCTCTGTTGCCTATTAGGCCTGAATTTCTTCTTCTTCTTCTCATGGCTTGGCTAATATTCTATAAATCTGCGGAAAATGTATAGGGAGGTCAGTAACAGAGAAGATTAAACTAAACCCTAAAAATAAAAATGCAGAAAAATTAGGGAAAATGTAAAACCTGAAGTCGTGATTTGAGGAAATAGAAAGCTACAACATGAAAAGCTAGTTACCTGTAACAGATTAGATAAATAGTAGTCGCAAGATAGAGAGAGTGGAAGAGCGAGATTGATTCATACATAAATGAAATAGCAGTCAAAACCCTGGTGCTAACGGCGGGAAAAAGGTTAGTCCCTCAAAATATAATGATGAACATTAGGGATGTCAATTTTTACCGCCCCGCCGGGGCCCCGTCCCGTCCCGCCCCGTTAATAATGGATATGGGAACACTTGTTATACCGTTGGGGCGGACATGAATACAAATTTTGTACCCGTCGAGGGTCACGGGGCGGGTAAGGGTTCAATATACATATCCTAGGGGCCCCGCCCCGCCCCGCCCTGCATATAACTATATTTAATATATATATATATATATATATATATATATATATTAATAAGTTATTTTAGCGGCTTACCCAATTACCCATCTCTTATAATCCTAATTTGGGATATAAACTTGGTATTAAATTTGCTTTTGTTTTGGTTATGGTGGAAGTTGGAGCTTAGAACTTCTTGTGATTTGGTTGTATTAAACTTTTATTTTTGTTTATTATGTTCTCTGAATTATGTTATGTGCATGTTATTTTTTATTTATTTATTAGGATATATAATTTTATTTATGTTGTGTCATTCCTAGGCTTTGCACATTTAAATAGCAGGAGTTTAAGTTCCAAAAAGTGAGAGAAAAAAATTTGTTAGTGGGGCGGGCACAGGGGCACAGTATTTCCTAACGGGGCGGGGTTGGATATGAAAATCCAACCCGTCGCGGGTCTCGGGGCGGGCATGGACTTGATAAAAATTAAAAGGGGCGGGGCGGGATTTAGAGAAACCCGCTCCAAACCCGCCCCGTTGCCATCCCTAATGAACATAATAGTAATGGGAAAAATCGTACCCCCTCTCACTGGAGGGTATCCATTGCTGACATGGAGGCGTGACATGGCAGTTGGTAAAAATAGTCTTATGTATATAATATTATGTATGTATGTGTACAAAAGGTTTATACAATTGTGTAGAAATACGAACTTAAATTTCCCTCCAAAAAGGTTTTTGCTTTTCCCCCCAAATCTCAGATGTTATTCCCCCAAAAGTAAAATGTTTATTCTCATATTTTGTATCATTATTTGTGTCTGAAATTATGCCCCCTCTCATTCTGAAATTGAAGTCATGAAGAATCCGGTGACTGACTAATATTTCGGCGACTGATCAACAATCCGGCCAAAGGTGAAGCTTTTGAAATGGTCTCTCTCCCTCAGTCTATCTATCCAACGAATGACAAAGGTTCGTACATATGTTTCTCCCTCTGAAATTGAAGTCTGAAGAATCCGGCCAAAGACGTTTCGTTCACATCTCTCTTCCTCTGAAACACCAACTCTCCCTCTGAAATTGAAGCTTCGTTCAGGTTTGTCTCCCTCTGTCTCCCCAAAAGTAAAATGTTTATTCACAAATTTTGTATCATTATTTGTGTCTCAAATTCTGCCCTCTCTCCTTCTGAAATTGAAGTCATGAAGAATCCGGTGACTGACGACTGACCAACAATCCGGCCAAAGGTGAAGCTTTTGAAATGGTCTCTCTCCCTCGGTCTGTCTATCCGACGAATAACCAAGCTTCGTTCAGGTGTTTCTTCCTCTGAAATTGAAGTTTGAAGAATCCGGCCAAAGACCAAGCTTCTTTCACGTCTTTCTTCCTCTGAAATTCAACTCTTCCTCTGAAATTGAAGCTTCCAAGCTTCGCTCAAGTGTTTTTCCCTCTGAAATTCAACTCTCCCTCTGAAATTGAAGCTTCGTTCAGGTCTGTCTCCCTCTGAAATTCAAGTCTTTCTCTACTGATCAAGAATCCGGCCAAAGACCAAGCTTCGTACACATTGTCCGTCTTCAAAGAAGCACATATATTTGTACAAGAATTTGATTTGTTTGTTTTTCTGCATTTTTATATATTTCAAGGAAGCTAAATTTTACTTTATTTGTTGTTCTGCATATGTATCCTAAATTTGCAGAGTCTGTAGTTTTATTTACATATTATTTATAAGTTTATTTTACATTGTATAATCACTGAATTTGTGATATATTACTAATTTTGTTTTATATTTGGTTTATGAAATATAAAACCCCTGAATTATATATGATTTAATAAATGAAAACACAAGAAAACTGTGTGAGTGTGATAATATTTTTTGCAGTGAACATATGTGTTTACATATAATTTATAAGTCTATTTTACATCTAATTATATTAATTGAAATTGTGATATATTAGGGCAATTATTTTATATTTGGTTTTTGAAATAACCCCTGAATTAATTTTGATTCAATAAATTAAGACACAACAAAACAGTGTGAGTGTGATAATATTTTTCGCAGTGGAGATATGTGTTTACATCTAATTTATAACTCTATTTTACATGTGATTAAAGTAATTGAATTTGTGATTATAGCATTTGTGAGTGTGATAATATTTTTCCCAGTGGAGATATGTACTGCTACATTGGAATTTATTTAGTTATAGTAATATTTGGATAAGAAATTGAACTGTTGACAGTTTTTACTAAAACATTATGTTGCTGAGTTGAAATATGTTAGAATTTCTTTTAAATGATATGTTCGTATAAGTGGTACCACAAGTTAGAAAAGTTTATGAATGTTTGTATATGCATAATATTACTTTATAAGTAAAATTTGTGAGAATGTTAGTAAAAAGTTGTGCTGGTTTATTAATAAATATGTTTACACTTGTTTTTGAAAAGTTATGTTTTTCAGTTGAACTATGTTTAAATATATTTTGTATGACATGTTCATATTAGTAGTGCCACATGTTGGAAAAATGTATGAATGTATGGACATGCATTATATTACTCTATCTGTTAAAATCAGGTGAAGATGTTAGGTTAAAAATGCAATGTTTTATTTATTAAACTGTTGACACCTATTTGAAAAATGTTATGTTGTCCACTTCAGAAGTTCATTTGCTTCCTACTTTAAATGATTTTTCTTTATGAGGTTCAGTTGAAGTATGTTAGGAATACTTTTGTATGACATCTTCATATAAGTGGTGCCACATGTTGAAAAAGTGTATGAATAGATGTTAGGTAAAAGATGTGATGTTTTTTTATTAAACTGTTGACACCTGTTTGTAAAAGGTTATATTGTTTAGTTCTAAAATTCATTTGTATGACATGTTTATATAAGTGGTGCCACATGTTGGAAAAGTGTATGAATGTGTGCACATGTATTATATTACTTAATCTGTTAAAATCAGGTCATGATAATAGGTAAAAGTTCTGATAGTTTATTCATTACATTGTTGACATTTGTTTGTAAAAGGTTATGTTGCTGAGTTCAAAAGTGCATTTACTTTCCACTTGAAATGATTTGCCTTTATGAGGTTCAGTTGAAGTATGTTAGAATAATTTTGTACGACATGTCCATATAAGTGGTGCCACATGTTGGAAAAGTGTATGAATGTGTGGATATGCATTATATTACTCAATCTGTTAAAATCAGGTCAACATGTTAAGTAAAAGATGTAATAGTTTATTTATTACACTGTTGACATCTGTTTGTAAAAGGTTATATTGTTGAGTTCAAAAGTGCATTTGGTTCCCACTTCAAACGAATTGCCTTTATCAGGTTCAGTTGAAGTATGTTAGGAATAATTTTGTATGACATAGTCATATATGTTGTGACACATGTTGGAAAAGTGTATAAATGTGTGGACTTACATTATATTACTCTATCTGTTAAAATCAGGTGAAAATGTTAGGTTAAAGATGTGATGGTGTATGTATTAAATTGTTGACACATGTTTGTAAAATGTTATGCTGTCAAGTTCAAAAGTTCTTTTGGTTCCCATTTGAAATCATTTTCATTTATGAGGTTGGTTGAAGTATGTTAGGATTAATTTTGTATGACATCTTCATATAAGTGGTGCCACATGTTGGAAAAGTGTATGAATATATGTTAGGCAAAAAATGTGATGGTTTATTTAGTAAACTGTTGACACCTGTCTGGAAAAGGTTATGTTGTTCAGTTCAAAAGTTCATTTGCTTCCCACATGTTGGAAAAGTATATTAAGGTGTGGATATACATTATATTACTGTATCACTTAAATTCATGTTAAGATGGTAGTTAAAAGATGTGATGATTTATTTATTTAAGTGTTGATATGTTGTTTAGTGCAAAACTTTATTTAATTCCCACTTTAAATGAATTGCCTTTATGAGGTTCTCTTGAAGTATGTTATGTTTTTTTTTTTTTTTTTTGTATGATAACTTCATATAAGTACTGTCACATGTTGGAAAAGTGTATGCATATGTGGATATGCATTATATTATTCTATCAGTTGATGTGAAGATGTTAGGTAAAATATTTGATGTTATATTTATTAAACTGTTGATACATGTTAGTGTAAGGTGGTGATAGTTGAACTATGCTAATACTTACGTCTTATGCTTACATTTGTAGGTTTTATATTAAGTTATAGTCATGGAAGATGGAACTATTAATATTGAAGAAACAGATAGCGAATCAGATTGTGAGGTACATGAAGTACAATGGAAACCATGTCTTGAAATGGAGTTTGATTCTGAAGATGCGGCGTATGATTTTTACAACAATTATGGTAGCAGAGTCGGTTTTAGTATTCGGAACGAGTACCGAAATAAAAGTTGAAAGAATGGAAAAATAACATCTAGGTTATTTGTATGTAGCAAGGAGGGTTTAAGAGGTAAAGACAAGGGAGACGGAAAAACAAAGAAACCAAGGGCTGAAACACGTACAAACTGTGGTGCACGCATATTAGTAAGGTATGATATGGGTTTGCAAAAGTTCGTTGTAAGATAGTTTGAAGAAAGTCACAACCATCCCCTCATCATGTAGCAGTGCACCCACATGATGCCATCGCAGCGAAAAATCAGCTCAGTGCAAGGTATTGATATGGAGTTGGCTTGTGATTCTGGAATAACAGTTCGTAAAGCCTTCAAATTAAGCTTCAGCCAAGTTAGAGGTAGAGAAGCAATTGGC